GTGCTGCCTTCCAGATGGTGGCCACGGTGGCCGCCGGCAAGGGGATCGCTGTGAGTCACCCGCCGCCTACACATGGCTGCTCCTCATACCTAGGCAGGGTTAGTCAGCCGGCAGTCCCCGCTACGGGGGCGTTGGGGACACTGTCGCTCTGTTAGGCTCGCTGGGCATTCATGCTTGGCTCCTCTCCCCCAGGCTCGGGACCGGAGTGTCCCGGGGACTCTCGTGGGGGTGGGACCGGGGGCCCGTTGCAGGCTGAGAAGGGTGAGCTGTACCTGTGCCTTGCACATGTGACGTGCTGAGATCGGTAACCTGGCACCAGGAGGAGCGTGCTCTGCCCCATACAGTTCATCCTTCCTTTTTTCCATGTTTTTCTTTGCTTTCTGGCTGTGCCATCAGCCTGTGACAAAAAAAACCTGCAAAACCGGGCTGACCCCCTCACATCCAACAGGACGCAGCCCCTGGGAAACACTGTTACCCCTCCTGCTGGGAGGGAGATGCTCCAGCCTGCTCCTCTGTGCATCCCCCTTAGGAGGGGACCCTGACCTGGAGCAAGCGATCTGGCAGGCGTTGGCTGACCCTCGTCTGCGGGACAGGCCGAGGGGATGGGGGATATTTGGTTACTGAGGCTGCAGCCTCTCAGAGCACCTTCTCGATGCCTTGAGCTGAGCTACGGTCAGAAAAATCTGCATTTTGTGTTGAAGGCGACTTCCTCTGTGCCACAGCCCCCAGGGTGTCTGAGTAGGGGGAGAGAGCAGCATCCCCCTGCCCACCTGGGCTGGACCAGTTTTCCTACCAGCAAGATCTTCCAAATCTTCTCGGGCTGTCCTAAGGGACAGAGCCCTGGGGAGGAGGGGTGGTGACAGTGGAGGTGGCTTGGGGGGGTCAGCAGGCATCGTGTCTCTGCTGGCTGTGGCCAGGAGATAACCCACGGGGGAGGGGAGAGCCTGTGCTGCCAGCCTGGGGCAGAGCCCCGGGCCTCACCCGGATCCTGGGGTTTCTCCAAGCCGCAGAGTTTCCTGGAGTATCAGTTTTCTCCAGGCGTAGCGTGAAGGATGTCGAAATAGCGAAATAACTTTGCTAGGTGTGCAACCGGTGTGCCGCAGCACGAGAGGCGCTCGCCGGGGAGGAGGAGGCAGGCTCGGTTACGTCAGGAAGCGGCTGAGAAGGAATTAGGCAGGTTACAACTCGCCAGGTTAGACTCGGCTGCCCTCTCCTCCACGAGCAGCGCGGGGCTTAGTTCATGTTTCCCCGGGCTCACTGGAGTTAAGTGCCGTGGCTCAGGGGGAGCTGAAAAGCCCCTATTGAAGCAGTGAGCGCTTTCTAGCATCTTGGCACCTTGCGAGATCAAGCTGGGGGCTGATTCTTTGGGCATCTGCACATCTTAAAACTATTCCAGTAACACTGCTGGTTTCGGTCTGTGTCCAGGCGAGGAGCTCAGTGCTCTGGTTCCCACCATCCCAGCAGGGAGCTGGCCTTGCACCAAAAGCCACCGGTCTCTGCACCGCAATTAAAGCATACTTTTGTAATTCATGGGAATGCTGCCCTTGCCATCTCTTTCGCTCTGCAAAACCAAAAATTAAGCCAGGCTTGCTTTCTTAATCCTGCTCCGGGTGCGCAAGGCATCCTTGTACCCACAGGAAGGAGAGTCCATCAAAGCCATGAATAGTGTCTTACAAAAGACCATGCTCATCAGGGAAATAAAAGCCAGATAAAGGGGCAATTAGCAATTTTCTGTGTTCAGTGGAAACTGGTACATATAATAGCAACATTTGAGATGCATAAAGCTCTGTTTCCCCCGCCCCAAGTCCTTTCTTTCCTTGAGAATTGTTCTTATGAATTGGAAAGGCCATGATATTTGTGAGAAGCTGGAAAAAAAAAAAAATTGAAAGAACCCCTCTGCTCGGGGGCAGATCACTGCACAAAAGGCTGTGGGAGGGCCAGGGCTGAGCTGGCTGCAGCAGCCCAGGGTTTGCTGCTCTGCCTTCTCTTCGGCTGACGCACGGAGGTGATCTGACCACTGTTTTCTCCTTCCGAAATTGTTTTCCAGTTGCTTTCCTGTCAAAGCCTCAAGGCCTGGTTACTCCCAAGAAAAAAGGGAACGGGAATAAAAGAAGAAAAGGCAAAGGCCTGGGGAAGAAGAGAGACCCGTGCCTGCGGAAGTACAAGGATTTCTGTATTCACGGCGAATGCAAATACATCCGAGAGCTGGGAGCTCCCTCCTGCATGTGAGTTGCTGGCGTGTGCCGGGGGAGCCTTAGTCATGGTTCCTT